AACAAAAACAACATTTTTATTTCACTCCTGCGGAGCAAAACATGTTCAGAAATAAAGTATAATAATAATTAATGTGTTCCACTGAAGTCGATGCTCTGGGCGGAATGGAGGCACATTGAAGCTTAAAGCTGATTGGACTAATAATTCTACCAATGAGGGGTGCTAGAAAAGCACTAGATGCAGCAACTCTGTGTTTCTTAACCAATCAGATTTCAAAGAGCTCGGAGGACCTGCAATCAGGCCCGAGAAAATGTCAACATTTTCGGCCTTCTGATTGGTCGATAACTGCTACCGCCAAGTGTTCATGGTATTAGTTAGGATCTGCAAATAGTAATTAATTTGAGTTTGTTCCAATTAATAATTCATATTATGGTCATAAGAAAGAGAAACATAAAACAATTGAGACCAGAACCTAATAGTAGCTTTTCTGGCGTGTCTCGTGTATTTTATTTACATATTATATGTTTTTGTCATATAACTGAATACGTTCTAATTCTCTGTTTGCATGCGACAATTCTTGCTTTGGGGAAAAAATATATATTCAACATTAAAGCATGACATCCCTCTATATATATTACTGTAACTTGATTATATTGTGTTTAAGAGTCGCTATAAAGGACATCTTTGAGTATCAAGTTACCGTTTTGTGGACATTGTGTCGTACAAATGTAGAAAATCATGCTAACAACAGGTATTTCCTACAGGCTACACACAAAATCCAATCCCAACAGACTTTGGTCGAAATACCACAGAAGACTGCATCACATAAAGTAGGTTTTGCATAAACGAGCCGCAAAACTAACCATTTTTGAGTCGTTGTAAAATTCTGTGGAAAATAAATGTTTTATAAACTCACAAAGGTGTTTTTTTTTTTTTTTACTTACATGTGCATTAATCTCCTAAAACCAAACAATAAGCCTTTCAAAATCATAATAAGGGGTTTCTTTAACTGTGGCCTGATGGTATTTGTACTCAAAGTTGGACTCAGATACAAAACCTAAAGAGCAAAAGCACGGAATCTCCTTTACATTGAAACGGCTATTTCTGCTCTTGCTGATTCTCACTGCTCTGCACTATTCAAAGTTACATCCATAGAGGACCTCATCAACCTTCCGGTTTCATCCTCATTCAACACATACTCCTTTCAAAAATATTAGACGTTAGAATGATCTATGAAAGTGTGAGAAAATCAATTTCAGCAAACCTGAAACACAAAATCGATTCTGGGCACCCTGGCACTGCAAGAGGACAGTCGTGTTTGTATTGTGTGTGTTTACAACAGTTTCAGGAGCATTTTCGGGGCTGCTGACGCTGGAAAAATGCAAAAATACTGCTTTTGGCTTCTAATTTTCTTTTGAGCTCAAAATAGGAAGTAAAATATATGAAACATTCCATTCTTATTATTTTGGTCACTTCATTTCACAAGTTTCTACCTTAAAATCTTGTTTTTATCATTATTATTAGTCGTTTTAAAGTTGGTTAATTAAGAAATAAACTATTTGAAAATGTACTTCCGTACTAAATAATTCAGGCGTGAAGGAGTTAACTTCACACAAAGCCATGAAACAAAGCAAGCAGCGCTGCAGAGCTCCTGTTGGAAGTGAAGCTGATGCTAAACCAGCTCAGAGCTGCACTTCTGCTCTGTGTTCAATGCTCCAGAGGTGGAGGAAGTGGAGGGATGGCCTGGGGCTTCCCTGCAGCAGAGAGAGCCAGTGCTGGGCACCGGCTCTGAACTCTTCACCGACCATTGAGCCGGACAACACTGTTCGACCCCTTCCCTTCTGTTTTAATGGCTGGGTCCAAAGAACTGCGCGGGTGTCTTCATTTATTATAGCTTTACTCGTAGAGAAAAGCAATCCGACTGAACCAGAACACCGTACTTAACATTTTGGCATTATACTACAATATATTTTCTCCTCCTCAGATTTCTACCATGCTTCCAAGTGATGTTTATTGGTATTACTTAACCCAGCACCGAGGAGCACCAATCTACTGTCTGGTCAGAAATGGTCCGCTAAAACCATAGTTATGACATGAATACAAGGCCAAGCAACTTGTACACATGAACATATAGGAACTGGGTGCAGAAAAATGGCAGCAGGTGCTCCTGACAGATGAATAAATAGAAATATTTAGCTGAAAATAGCAGAATGCAACTTGTTTCCAGAAAGGCTGGAGAGCGGTACAATAATGAATGTCTGTATGCAACAGTGAAGCATGGTGGAGGTTCCTAGATGGTTCGGGGCTGCATTTTTATATACTTTTCTAATACTGACAGACATGTATCCATCGTGGAATACCATCAGGGAGGACACCAATTATTCTGCAGCAGGACAATGGCCCTAAACATACAGCCAAAGTCATTAAGAACTATTTTCAGAGTAAAGAAGCTCAAGAAGTACTGGCCCCCACAGAGCCCTGGTCTCGTCCGATCTGTGGTTAGATGTTTGGAACATTTGTTGAGGAAAATGATCCGTTGCGGCAGAGGGTCCCTTTTGAGGCACAGAGACCGACTGTTCAGGCTTTCAGCAGTGCAACATCTTTATTGAAAGAAATTCAGCATTTCTTGCTCTTGTACAAGTTGTGGGTGTGGGATACAGATGCAAAATCTTCGTCCTTAAAGCAAGTCTAGAGTTCGCCGAAAAAGCTCTGGTAAAAATCTGATAACGTTATTGCATTAAGAAAATATCTCGAAACATTTCGATATCATTTATAAACTATATCTTAGTTAAATGCTTCATTCAGATGAAACATCAACTTGTAGGGGACATAAGAACTTTACAGTAACTGGGAATGAGGAACGGCCACTGGTTGATGACCACTGGCGAATACGACAAACACTTTCTAATCCACCAGAAAGTGTGACGAAACAAACAAACGAAGAGAACCTTTTGTCAAATTCACTTTTGTCTTGCATTACGACACCGAAACACAAGCAGTGAAAGCTGCAAGGATTCTAGTAAACGGACAACTTTCCCCAGCAGCACTGGTTTTCATTAGGCCTTCATTACCACTGTGTCCTCACTCAAACTGCCCCAACAAAAGGGCACGAGAGCAAATTTCCAAAGCTAAATTAAGTCCATGATGAAGGTCAAGAGCAGCACATCCGTACTGTTGTACTTCTAATGATTGCACTCCACCGAAGACATATGTTTCCTTCAGAGTGAGAAGAACTTTACCAAGATGTCCTGGTTTTACACGAGTCCAGCCGATAATGATGTCACAGATGGAACTAATAGATCACATCCCATAATGATCCAAGATAAATGACAAAGCAAGGTTTCCCAGAGAAACTAACAAGCTCTTGTTTGTAGCAAGGTATTCAAACATTGCTTGCGTTCGGTCGTCGTGTGGATACCGAGAGAGCTTGAACCAAAACAAAACACTTGAGCTGAAAACATACAGAGACTGAAAAACCCAAATAACTGATCTTACGAACACCGTTAGATTGACAACCCTTTATCAGTGCATTCACATTTTATAAAAGGGCTGACAATAATCATAAGAAATAAAATATGAGAAAGGGGAGAAATAATTAAAAAATAAAAAACAATAAAACAGACCAAAAGATTTATAAGACCACACAAATTTAGGCAGAGTTAAAAGCCAAAGAAAACAAATAGGTTTTAAAACAAGACTTAAAACTGACCCCCCCTGGGTTTAAGTCACCAACTTAGAGAAAACATCTGAACCAGACGCCATGTAGCACGACAGATGAGCTAATCGATTTGTTTCCAAGACGCTCGCTCTGGTTCTTATCACCGTCTTATCAAAACAACGTCCTTTTCTTAGAAAATCACTTCCTTTCTCAAGGTGGCGTTGGTCAGTAGAACAATACAGACCGGTTTCAACACATTTCAATATATTAAAGGTGTTCTTGTGCATTTTTAAACCATTTCTAATAAACATTTGAGCCCTCTAAACTATTTTCTGAATGTAACGTCATTTCAAAAGTAGTGGTTCTCAAAGTGGGGGGGGGCGCACAGGCACTTCAGGGGGGGCAATGTTTCTTCCAGATTCTTTTAAAGGTTTAAAGGGGGGCTCGAACAAAAAAGTTTGAGAACCGCTGTTGTAAAGCATTCTCAGTCATGCTTTAGCCACGCCCCCTTCTTACAAACCCTGGGAAACTAAAACACAGAGTGAAGTTATAATTGGTTCCAGGCGATTAATCTGATTGGTCAGTGGGCGGAGCTATGATCATCGGGCTGTTTTCTGCTCACAGAAAAAGGAATTACACAAACCAGATTCTGAATAAAACGCATGAACACTAAAAGAATTGCATTTTACATTCATTTATTTTGACAACAAAAAGAATGTCTTTAAAAAGTAGCATTTCAAAACCTCTGCATGGCGGGTGGGGGGTGGGGCTGCAGCCGAGTCTGGAAGTGTGTGTTACAGCTGGTGCTGTCTGTCTGCTGCTCTATAATGTATACGACACCAGGGCCAGGAGGTGGTGTGGGCAGAGCAGTGAAGTGTGTGAGCGGAGCTCCGACCGCAGAGGCATCTCAACCTTGCCTCTCCGCAGAGCAGCCAAACACACGCCTGACAAATCTGTACAAGCTCACTCAGCTGCACACCAAACACAGAGGCTCGCAAACCAACACACACACACACACACACGCACACACACGCACACACACACACACACACGGGCAGCTTAAGAGCAGAAATGACCATGTTTTTTAACAGCACAGCGGAGGAACACAGGAAATGAAACTTTGGGATGGGAAAGGCCATCCTGGTTGAGAATGGAACCCAGGTCTCACCGCCCCTACACCACAGGAGCTGGACACTTACCAGGTTCATGATTGACATGATCGTACACATCAAGCAATCGGACATCCATGACATCTATTACTAGCCATGTCACATGAGTCACATGGTAAGATGGGTCGCCTGCATCGATGTGCCTTTTAATGGCAAACATCAATCAAATACATTTAATTTGAGGTAAAACGCTTTGATCATTTGAACGAATGAACATGTTTTTGGTAAGTTCTTGCTTTCCCTGGGATTTGAACCCACGACCTTTGCGTTGTTCTACGAACGCTCTACCGACTGAGCCACACATAGCAACCAATAGAGACTGCGGGTGTGTTTATATCGAATAAGTTGATTAAAATGAATCGTACGCTGTGTAAAACCAATCGAGTCTTGGGCCGCTTCTAAACGAACTCTAGTGCAATCTGGTTGTAATATGAACGCAACATGCACCAAAACACACAAAACCGGAATGTGACGCAGATCTCATCACCCTCACCCGTCATGATATAAGCAGTGGTGGACAGTATGAAGTACAAGAAACTTTTTAGCGTATCTTTACTTGAGGATCACTGTTTTGTGAGACTTAACTACTCGACTACATTTCGAAACCGTACTTTTTACTCGACTACTTTCCTAAAACCTGTCGTTTCAATGTACTGCACACGCGTAACCAGTGTAATGGGAAAATTATTTCTTTGCCATCCATGTATACACTTTTATTGTGATTTTATTAGTCAAATGATTCTTGTGCCATATGATTTCTGTATACAGTTTTATTCTGGGTCTTCCTCTTGATTTTCCCTTGAATATGTCTCAATGTCATTTAAGCCCAACCTTAACATCTTGTACTGTGCCTTGAAGCTTATCCTCCTGTGCTCCATAAAATGAAGATACGAATATCTCTAGACCCATAGGCACCACACCAACGCGCCATAACATCTCTGACCATAATGTAGGAATCAACTCTGGTGCCTGACATCCTACATACGCAAGGAGTCTAATCAGAAGGACATGAATGACGCACAGGAGGGTGGTCTCCACGTTACAAATACAGGGCTCAGAAACTGTCTGACATGTTCACATTGAGAACGCTGTTCTCTGTGTTTTGTGGTCTTCTCACTGTGAATCATCAATAAAGAAGCTTCTTTCTTAAAATGGTTTTCTGTGCTGTTTGTTTCCTCAAGACGGTCTCTCTCTCTCAGCAAGGTGAAGGCTCATTTCCACCACACCAGATACAGGTCAAAATAAGTTCACGTGCTCCACCAATCAGAACACGTCGTGTTTACTGTCTAATATGGCTGCCGCCTGCCTGTTTGCTTCTTTCGCCGTCACGTTTATATGTAACTATAGCACTCATAGCTATATTTAAGGGAATTTTTTGAAGTAGTGGAAAGGAAAAACGAGTCATTGTTATCTACATACTGTGTAAGTCTTCAGGAAATGCTGGTGGTGTGTTAGTTTCTGTTTTTGTGGGATTTTTTCAAACATTAGCATTTGTTTATAGAGTGGACACAGCTGTGTTTGTAACGAGTCATGTTTAGTAAATCGGAAAAAAAGACATCCTTTGTAAACTTGAGTAAATCCGTTTTTGCAAGAAATACATGTCTAATGTGGTCCCCCCCCCACCCTATCTATTCCTAATCACATGGTTTCCATTAGGAAGGATGTGCTTATAATAATTCGACAGATTTCACCAATAGAACACGTTGTATTTTCAGAGTGGTGTTTTTGTTTGCCCTGTATGACCTGATTGAGTGTATAAAGGACGTGACTAGACATTGGAACTACATTCCACCAGATTACTTTTGATACTGAAGTACATTTGAGGTCAAGTACTTTTATACTTTTACTCAAGTCGACGTTTAAAGGGAGCACTTCCACTTTTACTGGTGTAATATTTTACACTAGGTATCTCAACTTTTACTCAAGTACATGGTCTGTGTACAGTGGTACCTCGAGTTACGAAATGTTCAAGATATGAAAGGTATCGAGATACGAACAATAACAAACATTTATTTCTGCTCTACTTTCCACTTGTTTGTCTGACGTCGCGCTGTGCTTCCACTGAAGAAAGTGTGCTTTATGGGGCTGATAGGCCTTAAAACACTTTAAATCAGTTTTAAATCAAGCGAAACATTATTTATAGATTACCAATAATGTGTTATAACAGATGCTAGAGATTAATAACGTTTGTAACGTGGAAAGTGCTGTTCTGTAGTCCTCTTCCTCCGACACGTCGCCTCACTCTCAGGGTAAGCTTTCACATTTGTGAACATATTACATATTTTGCTTGTGTTTTATTATCATTTATTACATTAACAATGTGTAGATTCAAGGATTGAAGAAACATTTTTTTTATAAACTTATACTGTCGTTTCTGAGAGGCATTGCATGGATTAGGTGTTTTACATGTAAAACTTGCTTCGAGATACGAACTTCACCCTGGAACAGATTGTATTCGTTTCTTGGGGTACCACTGTACTTCGTCCATGACTGGATATAAGGACCATACTTATACAAAGATACGCCATAAAACAATGTCTACAAACAATAACAAGACTGAGATCTCAGGAAGGTTGAAATGTGAGCTGTACATCTGTGTAGAAAGAGTCTGGTCTCTCCAGGGGCAGGATTATCTGTCTGTTTGCCCCAGGCAGGGCAGCTCTGAGGGGGATTAGGCCTCTAGACCTGCTCCTCGGCTGGATTACCACTCTTCTCTCTGTCTCACACAGCCTGGAAAATCTACATCTCCACCTCTGCTCCAATTACCCTCTCACAGATGAGAAAAAACTCGGCCGTATTCTATTAATGGATCACATCAGCTGCTCTGCATTGATTACTGCAGCAAAAAGCACATTTGCAGGTCAGTCAGTTCTGTTCCTGATGCGTTCACTCAAGTGGTTCGGCGAATCCTTCAGCCGTAGTATGGAGCTCAGTCCCCGGTGCCGCATAACCAGACAAGCAGCACGCTCGGTTTGTTTGTTGTGTTTTGTCCGCAGGAGGCTAGCCGAACGCTCCGCAGCCGTGCAGGTGAGTTATGCAGATAAATCTCTAAAGGTCGATCCCAGATGTTGCCGCTCCTGGTTCCACTTGAGTGAAGACGGAGAATGAATGTCAGATTTGCAAATCTGCCGAGCTGGAAACATTGGTGTTTTACATGTTTCCATTTGCATCTGACTTTCTGCAAAACTGTGAATAATTCAGCCTTTAGCTCCAGATTCATGATGCATCCACTTTATGGATTGCCCTGAATTATTAGGTAGTTTAAAAACATTTGAAGGGGTTTGTTTTGGTATTTTATAATGCTGCAGATAATCATTTTTCTTACATTAAACTGAAAATACAAACATAAAAGATTACAATTATCTTAGTGGAATGAATTAAAGCAAAGTCGATCCTCGGATTTCAAAGCCAAACATCGAAAAGCGCTGTGAGTGTGAATGCTTAAAAGCTCTTTCCCTTAAAATCTCTTCTGTTTAAAATGTTTCAGTTCTTTCACTTGAGAGCTCTTTCATTTACAAGCTCTTTCTTTTAAAAGTTTCCCTGCTCACAAGATCTAACTAAAAGGTCTAAGCACTTTTGCTTAAAAGCTCTTTGTTTACAAGTCCTTTAGCTCACAATTTTTCACAAAAAATGTTTTTTTGCTTAAAAGCAATTTCACTTAAAGATCTTTCGCTTAAAAATGTTCACCAACACATTCTTTCGGTTACAAGCTCTTTTCCTTGAAATCATTTCTGTTTGCGAGGCTTTTTCCTTTAACATTTCACTTAAGTACTTTAGCTTAAAAGCTTATTTTTAAACACTTTCCTTCATTTACAAGCCTTACACACTTACAATCTCTTGCGCTTGCAAAGTATTTTGCTCACAAACTCCTTTGCCTCCAAGCTCTCTCTCTCACAAGATTTCACTAAAATGTTTTTGCATAAAAACACTTTCACTTAAAAGATCTTTTGCTCAAAAATGTTCACCAACACGTTCTTTCAGTTACAAGCTCTTTCCCTTGAAATCATTTCAGTGTTTGATGCTTTTCCTTAAACATTTCACTTAAGTATTTTAGCTTAAAAGCTTATTTTTAAACACTTTCCTTCATTTACAAGCCTTACACACTTACAATCTCTTACGCTTACAAATTATTTTGCTCACAAACTCCTTTGCCTCCAAGCTCTCTCTCTTTAGCATAATGGCGTAACTTAAAAATAAATGTAACTACTCCTTAATTTTAATTAACTCATAATTTATAACTTATTCAAGTGAAAATTCTTTTGTCAGCTTATGAAAACCCACATAACTCTATTAATGAAGGATCAAACTGTTCAAGTGAATAAAGAAAAATAGCATTTTTGTAATTTGTTTAGCAAAAAAAACCCTCACAGACTGAAGACGATGCATATCGATCATCATCTTTTATCGTCAGACTCAAGAAACAGATCACAGATAAACTATCAGCTCCGCCCATTTCACATCTTGAAATTAATTTTAGCGTGAGAGATCGGAGGTGTAGCCTGAGAGATCATTCAAATGCGTGAGTCTTACGTTCAAGAGAAACGGCAGCTCTGCAGTTTCACTCGTGGGTATGGATGCGGTAGCTGCGACTACCGCATAAGGCATTGTGGGAAATGTAGTTTTTTTTCGCGTTTTCATTTTTTTTTTTTTAGATACTCAAAACTTTTAAGCTCTCGCGGGCCACATTAGATTACATGTCGGGGCCTTGAGTTTGACACATGTGGCTTAAAAGCTTGTTTTCTTACTATTTCTTTCATTTACAAGCCTCACACGTACAATCTCCTTTGCTGCCAAATTATTTAAAATCTCTTGTTTACACGTTATGTTGCTTACAAGCTCCTCTTCACTTAAAATCTCTTTCGCCAGCAACATTGCCACTACAAGCCAAATCCTGGCACATTACACGAGTAACTAGCGAGACAAAATATAAATCCCACAAAAAAACTTTTGAACATATTCTAGCTTTAAAATGAAATAAAATTAAATCTTTAACCAACAAAATAAATCTCACTTTCATGCACAAACAGACTTGACGTATCATAAAGTAGCAACATTATATGAACCTGAAACAAAATCCTAATGAAACTCTTTAAAATTAAAAACATCGCCGCTATCCACAGCTGCATTTATATTATTTGCATATTGCTTGAACAATGAGGAAATAAAAACATCATTAAAAGGTGTTACACAAACAACAGTCTAATTAATTACGTCTGCACTTTTCACCAATGCATGAATTCCATTCATATTTACAGAATTCCTCCCGTATATTTCTTCTTGGTTTTTTTTCATCTGGATTTGTTTTTT